TGAAAGGATCGAGGTTGAAAGGATCGAGGTTGAAAGGATCGAGGTTGAAAGGATCGAGGTTCAAGAAGATTTTTGTAAAGATGGGATCAGTGGCGGTGATATGACCGCTGGACGTGGTCGACGACAAACAATGGAATGATGTTCAAGTCCCACAAGACCAAGTGAGGTCCTTACATGGATGGACATTGGCATTCTCTGTCTCTCGCTCTGGCGCAGTTACCTCGGAGAATAGTGCCAGCGGTGCCGAGCCTCGCCGAGAGTCTTGGCATGTGGACCAATCATCGAACCACTCAATGGTCGAGGCAGAATGTGAACAACCAACTGCCTTGACTCGGAGGTATCGACAAACTTCTTCTCCTACTCCCATCGTTTTCATGCAACCAACTGACAACAACGAGCCATCCACCCGCGTTTGGAGAGTCTTTGTTCGCACTATCGTCACCCAACCAGCCGGACGCGGTGAAGTCGTCCGTCCCTGTGGCACAGCAGGCTCAGCAGCAGCAGCGGCCGCACCCTCAGGTTGGCCTGCTGCGCCCACTCAATCCAGCGCAGGGCCGCATCCCATCCCACTCGTCCTCCCCCCTCCCTCCTCTACCTTCTTCAGTGCCTCCTGGCTGCCACCCACCAGCAGATGCACGCCCACGACGCCCGGGCTGGAGATGTCAGCGCGCAGCGCCCCTCTCCAGCACGCTGATCTCGCCGGGACTGGTGCCGCCGTCGGCATCTACGGGATAGCCAAACACCTGCACACGCGGCGCACCGTCTCGTTCGTTTCAGTCAAGTGGGAAGAGACTGTTGGCCTTGTGTATCCACTGCACCCGTCCTGTCACTTGTCCCCTGGAACGAGCCCAGGAAGACCATGTACTGGGGCCAGGACCGTATCTGCTTCCTGTCCAGAGAGTACATGGCTGAAAAACGTCGGCTACGAGCTTGCTTGCTTGTGCTGCTGTCTGCTGTTTCGTCGACTAGGTTAGTACAAGGTACATTGGAAGGGGAACGGGCAGGGGAAACAAAGACGATTGAAAATGATACGAGTGGAAGGCAAAGACGTGCCGTGGAAGGAAAAAAAGGGGCTTGCCGTCTACCGCAGTCTAGTCATAAACACAGTCCTTGGACTTTTGAAATCATGAGATGGTACTTTTCCGTCATACTTCGGAGCCATGCCTCGTATCCCTATCTATCTGGTGAGAGGCGGCGCTTTGTTTTTCCCGGAAGGCTGGCGTCCCTGTCTTGATATTGACCCGTTGTTGTACGAGGTCGGTAGGTGGCCCCATCACCATCTTCGTCTTCGTCTTCGTCTTCGTCCTCTTCCTCTTCCTCGTCGTCCTTCAGCTTCTATTGGTGTATGTCATTCGAAATGGCTTTCCTGGTGTCTGACGATTAGATCTGGAATGCTTCTACCCAGCTTTCATTCTGTTGACCTTGTTGAGTGGTCCTGACGGCTATCCAGTGGGGTTTTCTTTGTCCGTCCAGCCCGGGAAACAGTGAATTGCTCCAAGTTTCTTCTCTCCAACCATGGAGATATTGCTAGAAGGTGCACGAATGGAATGACACAACATTTGTATTGTTTGGCAAGTTGTGGACGTTTGATCGGTGGTTCTGTTATCATCTATCACGGCGCAGCCTTGAACAGGAGAGATCGCTGTCAAGGGTGCAATTATGACGTGAATTCTGAGACGAAGGAGTCTAACTAGAGTAACTACATCGGCGTGAGAGATGTGTGCACGCTCAGCCTCGTGTGGGGTACCCAGCCTCGTGCGGGGTAGCCAAGCTCTCAGGCCGTGATATCATCCCAGTGATGATGGACTTTGGCATTTTGCGGGTTCTGGCCACTTCCTTCCCTTTCGGTGTCGCCTTTGGTCTTACTTCAAATATCCTTTTCGCTTGTGTTGCCGTGTGGCGCGGGTGGTGGTGGGCCTCCTGCCTCTTCTTCTTCTTCTTCGTTCTCCTCAATTACCTGTGCCTCCTGGTTCTCTTCGTGGCATTGACTTCTGCATCGTTGGCCGGGGTATCTATTGCTTCCACCTCTTTTCCATTCGTCGTCGGTGACTCCTAATGTTCTGCCTTCCGGGTTCCCCATTGTGTGAGGCATTCTGTGAGTCACGCTCCCAGAGGGGTGGAATTTGCTCCAGTGGCTGGTCCGCTGATGTCTCGTGTTGCAGCTCCGGACTGGGCTCTACTCGCTTGATATCTCTGGGTGTGTTCCCTCACCATCCGTCGGAATGTGTCTCGTTCTGGCTGGGGGAGAGGTCTGTCGCTGGTACAGTCTCTCGCCATTGTGCTGTGTCTTTCTCCGCGGCGGCAGCATACACGATTGGGTGTGATGAGGTGGCGTGGTCCTGCGCAGGAGCTGTTCTTGTGTCTGGGAGCGGGCCTGTCGTTCTTTTGATGGCTTGTGCCTGAATTTGAGGCCCTACTGACTTGTGAGTCTCGTTCCTTTCTTCCCCATCTTTTCCATGAGAGCGTTTCTTGAATGGTCCATCTAGCTCCTCGTTCCTCCTCTTGTGATATTGGTCTGACTATCGCTCTGGCTCGGCGACGCGTGCCATGCCATGCCACAATTGCATTTTCACCTGCCTATAAGGCCGCATCTCCGCTAACTGGCCATTTCCTCGCCACCATTCACGCAGGCGGCCTGTATTGGTGCCCCGTCTGCTCCTCTCCCAATCTTTCGCCGTGTGCGATGAAGCCATCCATGTATTCATTCATCTTTTGTCCCATCGGATATGTCCCCGTTCATGGAGAAGGGCTGAGAAGGCTATAGGATAGGACATGCGGGCAAGGTGTGTTGTAGGAGTGGGAGTTTGGACCGTTGGGAATTGTGGTGTGGTGCAGGCCATGTTTTCGGTAGAAGTGTGGTGAGCGGCGTGGTCTCTCAAAGGGGCTCGTGTCGTGGCCTTGGCTGTGTAGTCTCTGATGTACTAGCTGGGGACGTTGGTTGGGGAGGACCATGTACTATGGCCATCCTTCCCGAGACACGACTTGCTCGAGAGGCAGGAACCCAAGCTGGAGGCCAGATTATCCAGCTCAGCGTTAGCTGACCGGCTGGCAAAACTGAACGAAACAGCCACGCCTTCTGATTGGTTGTCCTTATCGGCCCTTATCGATTGGCTAACTAAAAGACAGATGACGCGACTTTCCTGGATCTTAGTCATTCTGATCCTCATTCCATCATTAACATAACCCTTCATTCCACCTTTCCATCTCCGCCTCGTCCTCGCCGCCGCCACTCTTTTAAACTACCTCAACTTCCATCAACAGCAATATGGAATTGATCATTAACAGCCTCCATTCATCGTTCTGTGACATAGAATCCATCTGTAAACAACCCTGATCATCACTCGCGGACGATAAGGGGGAAAACGTCATGCGTCTGGGCTGAGCAGCAATGTGGGTTTGCGTGAGGACGAGGGAGTCAAACGAAACGAGGCCATCTTCATGTACGAGCCACATACTCGGTATGAAGCACTCGCTCACTGAGGGCAGATGTGTTACCATGAATGACCATTGAAATGCTCTGAAAGATATTACCTTCTATGAAAACCTAGCAGTAACGTCAAGGTCCCCTCCCCATGAGCTTCTGACCCACCACACCTCTCCCCTCCCCCCCCCAGGGCCCGCCGGGCGACAAGCTTCGAATACCTGCTGCAATTTCTCTGTCTGATCTTCGTTCTTTCCTCTGCTCTTCGTATTCCTGCGTCCCACTTCTCTATCCTCCGAGTCTCTCGATTTCCTGATCTAACTTCTTCCTCTCATCTTCGAATTTCTTAGATATCTGCTCCAAGCTCGTGATCTGATCTCTAAGTCCCTCTAACATCCGATGGCGCTTTCGCCCCAGCTCTTCGTGTTCCTGCGTCCGATTCTCCATCTCTCGAGTTTCTTGAATGCCTGATCCAACTTCTTCCCGCGCCCCTCGCCTCCACATCTTCCTCGGACCACTCCTCATCCGAGCCGTAGATGCTCCCTCTTGTCTCTGTCCGAGTGGGCCGTTGGAGTCCGTAATGGCTGTGGCAGTGTTTACAGTGTCTGTAGACGATGACTCCGTGTGCATCGACCCTTCTGGCTGACCCTGTTCGCTTGTCGGAGCTGATGTGACCGACCCTTCTGGCTGATCCTGTTCACTTGTCGGAGCTGATAGAACCGACCCTTCTTGAGGGTCCTGCATCTTTGCCAGAAGGTCTTTGATTCTCTTCACATGCGCTGGAAGGAAGTCCTCATCCACCTTTCTGACAAATTCATAACACTCCTTTCCAACGATGAAATTCCCCCATATGCCTCGAGGGCCTAGACGGGCTTCCCTAGCTATATAGCGGTGGAATGTAGTTTCCGCTCCTTCAATGATAGGATAATGTCCGCTTATCTTGATGGTTTCACGGTCGCGAGTAATTGAGAAGAGCAGGACCTCGCCGCTCAGTCTCGATGATTCGTCATCTCCTAGGACTCGCGAGTGTAGGTTGATAATGGCGTCGAGGGCGGTACTGCAGCGTTCCGTTAAAAGCTCCTCAGCTTCAGACTTGAGAGTGTCATCCGCAACGACTTGACTGATGAGATGTGGAAAGAATAAACCGCCTACGAAGTGTTGTAGGTACTGGTCGGGGAGAAAGGATTTTATCTTTTCAACCTCTGCTATCGTAAAGTTTTTGGTGTTTAGGCCGAGGGTCGAAGTTGCTCCAGGCCAGTCAGGCGGCCATGACTGAACCAATAGGCCCTCGAGGAACCCGGAAACACTCCGTTCAAACTGCGGCTCGTCGTCATAGTGAGCCTTCAACATCTCTTTGATGAGTTTCTTGCTAGCCTGGGATATCAAGTTGGGACCGTCTCGCTCCTCAGTTGTTGAGGAATGACTTGACGGACGCTCCGAGGACACAGTGGAAAGGTCCGTTGGCCACGACGCAGTGGCCACCCATTGTGCAACTGGATCACTTGTCTCTTCTGCGGGCTCTGTCACCACTTTCGCTTTCGTCTGTGTGGCAGTCGCCGGACCGCTGGCCTTGCGCTTCCGGCTCTGCTTCTGTGTGGCGGTCACCGGACCGCTGGCCCTGCGCTTCTGGCTGGGCTTCGGGAGGCGTGTGCTTCTGCGTAGAGCGGTAATCCGACCGCTCTCCTTGCGCTTCTGGCTAGGCTTCGGGAGGCGTTTGCTTCTGCGTATAGCGGGAGGAGGAGCCATGAGGGCTGCGTGTGCTTTGTTTGCGGATCGGAACCTGTGGGCGGTGTAGGGCAGGGTGGTGTTGGTGTGGAAAGAAGGCCTGTTGGGCTCTGTCAGTAGTAGATTCAGGCTGGTGGGCGACGTTGAGCAGAAGTGCGCACCGGTATGGAACAAGAAGCCTTGCTGGCTTCTGTCTGCAGATCGAAACCGGCAGGTGATGCTGGGCAGAGGTGCGTGGGTGTAGAAGAAGAAGCCTTGATGCTGGCTTCTGTCTGCAGACCGAAACCAGTAGGTGATGCTGGGTAGAAGTGCGTGGGTATAGAAGAAGCCTTGCTGGCTTCTGTCTTGTAGAATAGAAGGATGCGGTGAGGCTGTCAGATACGGCGCTACACTGAGTCAGGACTAGCTAGAATAGGGGTTGCCCCTAATCGGGAATGTTAAGCGAATAATCTCCACCGCGGCACTCAACAAATCCGCAGGTGCGCTATATAGATTTCCTTGGCTAATCAGGTTATTCCACGTAGATTGCCGACCCTCTTCGCAGACTCTCTCTCGTTCATACTCTCTCTATCTCTCTCTCTCTCTCTCTCTTTCTCTCTCTCTCTCTCTTTCTCTCTCTCTCTCTCTTTCTCTCTCTCTCTCTCTTTCTCTCTCTCTCTCTCTTTCTCTCTCTCTCTCTCTTTCTCTCTCTCTCTCTCT